TAAATAATATATCAATAATATAGCTTTCTGTTTACTAACTTCCATACATTTTCTAAATAATATATCAATGGTATAGCTTTCTGTTTACTAACTCCCATACATTTCTAAATAATATATCAATAATATAGCTTTCTGTTTACTAACTTCCATACATTTCTAAATAATATATCAATGATATAGCTTTCTGTTTACTAACTTCCATACATTTCTAAATAATATATCAATAATATAGCCTTCTGTTTACTAACTTCCATACAGTTCTAAATAATATATCAATAATATAGCTTTCTGTTTACTAACTTCCATACATTTCTAAATAATATATCAATAATATAGCTTTCTGTTTACTAACTTCCATACATTTCTAAATAATATATCAATAATATAGCTTTCTGTTTACTAACTTCCATACATTTCTAAATAATATATCAATAATATAGCTTTCTGTTTACTAACTTCCATACATTTCTAAATAATATATCAATAATATAGCTTTCTGTTTACTAACTTCCATACATTTCTAAATAATATATCAATAATACAGCTTTCTGTTTACTAACTTCCATACATTTCTAAATAATATATCAATAATATAGCTTTCTGTTTACTAACTTCCATACATTTCTAAATAATATATCAATAATATAGCTTTCTGTTTACTAACTTCCATACATTTCTAAATAATATATCAATAATATAGCCTTCTGTTTACTAACTTCCATACATTTCTAAATAATATATCAATAATACAGCTTTCTGTTTACTAACTTCCATACATTTCTAAATAATATATCAATGGTATAGCTTTCTGTTTACTAACTTCCATACATTTCTAAATAATATATCAATAATACAGCTTTCTGTTTACTAACTTCCATACATTTCTAAATAATATATCAATAATACAGCTTTCTGTTTACTAACTTCCATACATTTCTAAATAATATATCAATAATACAGCTTTCTGTTTACTAACTTCCATACATTTCTAAATAATATATCAATAATACAGCTTTCTGTTTACTAACTTCCATACATTTCTAAATAATATATCAACGGTATTGTTTTCTGTTAACTGACTGGATTTTCATTCATAAAGTGTCACAGACAGCTTAATTTTAGCAATGTATACAGTAAGAAGACAATGAATGACCATCATCATTCTTCAAACCAGCTTTGAGCTCTTGAGTCTCTAGATTAAAAAAGCTCTTAGCTTCTTGAGCTGGACTATAATAATTATATTCACAAA